TTAAGGAAAGGAATGGAAATATTGTATTTATTTTTCTAGGTTCTCAAACCTTTACTTATCATGGTCAACATTTGCCCCACTTTAATCCATATGTTCATATACTGTCCTTGCCTTGCTGTATTTCTTATGAAACAATCTGCAGTGGTTTTCAAGCTACTAATCACATCTAACCGGACTCATTTCCTCTCCGCCAGCTGCTTTTCTTCAACATGCCCCTCACCTGCTATCTCTGCTGGAGCCTCCACCACCGTTGCCGTGGCAACACCTTCCGATCGCACTTCCTGCGGCCGGGCTGCCGCTGGCGGACTCTGGCGTTTCACCTCCTCATGCTGCTGCTGCTCACCTGGCAGGCGCACTCCTCTGCTACTTCCTCTTCGAGACCTACGGCGCCGTGGCCTTCTTACTGTCTCCGGTCCGCACGTGGGCGTTTGGGCTCAGTCTGCTATTGGTCTACCACGCCTGGACATGCCCCGCCCCTCTCGCTCGTGACAACAGCAAGAGCGTCACTCCTTCTTGACAGTAATTGCACTGTTTCCACCACGATCTCTCTGGAGCCTGATATATTTGACTGTCTCTATCCACCTTGAAAGCAGCTAATTCCTTTCTTTCTCTCCTTCTTCTAAAACCAGTACATCACTCACTATCCTGTTTATAGGTAATCTTGTTTACTTAATATGCATGTTATTGTTAAACACCGGTGAGCACATTTCTAGCCATATCCAAAACAATGTGTACAGTGTAAGAAAAAGAAAAAAGACACCTTGGATACGTTGGGAGTGAAATAGCCTCTTTGAGCTATGAGCGATCCAAATTGTGCTGCACTTAACAGTCAGTATATTCTGCTGTGATTCAGACGGATAGTTTGTCATTTTTAAAGTGGGGTTGTATGAGCAACTGACCCATAAAAAGATGACAGTCATTGCGTCACCACTTTGGAGAGACAGATTACCGGCACAAAAGCTAAGCAATGTACTGCTATGAATCGGGGACATTGGATTTCTAAAAAAAAGACACTTTTTCATCTCTTTAGGTGTATGCTATATTCAGAATATTTTTAAATGCTTTACCTTGCTGACGAACGCCTTTCTTTTAGGTGGCTACAATATATTTTTTTCTGCTTCCCCCATCCACAGCAGTACACTGATTTGCTTAGGTGGTCATACTCCTGTCTGCTTCTCCAGATCAGGGGTGTGCCGATCACGTGAGCTACTGATTAAAACATCATGCAACAGCATTTCAAAAATTCAAACTATCCCTTTAGGCTGACTCATTTACTTGAGCGTTTAGCTATTTTAGGAAGTGTTGCCTTGGCCGAATGCCACCTCACCACTGCCAAAAGGATGAATAAGAACGACTTTCATCTTTTTATTCTTCCCGCTGAAAATCATTTTCATTCGCTAATGAAGGCTGGACGTGCCAAAACCATACCTGCTGACACACAAACAGTGTGGATAAGAAAGCTTCATTTTGTATTCTGTAAGCTTTCCTAACTCCCCATGGCTGACAGTGTTGTAGTTACAGTAAATCCGGGGGAGATGACACAGGAAATGCAACCTAGATCATCATATGTTAACGTTTATTCTACACATGATTACAGGAGATCAGAGGAAGGAGATTTCAACATCAATCACATCACATGTAGTTGGTCTGTGTTCAAATAGTTGATGATTTAAAGTGTTTTTAAATAAAATACCATTGCACACAACTGCCACATAAAAACATGTCAATATTCGCAGTGGATAGTTAAAAAACGTACATGCCGTTTTTCACCAAAACGCAACAACATGCCGGCCTGACTCTTCGTGCTCCTTCAAATGTGACTACAGAAAGCAGCTGTTTGTTTCTCAGGAATGTGAGCACTTGAACAAAAGGCTGGTCCCAGTAGTATTTCAGGACAATGTTTTTATACTACATAGTAGCTCATTGAACTAAAAAATATTTTCAACAGCCGAGATGTGTGGTGGCTTCCAAACAAAATGAATGTGTAATAGATGTGATGAAATGAGAAGAACCAGTACTATACTGTTTTAATTATTTATTCTTTCTGATTGTATTGAGTGATTTCTCTTTTTCCCCCTTCATGTTATATATCTGCACTGGAAATGGGTATTCCTTGCATTAATTGAAGTTCATTTGAGAGCTTTTTGTGAAAACGATGTTTGTCTGTATTGTTCTGAAACTGCACTCAATCCGTCTGTAGTAGCAGTTGCCTGAAATCCACAGAGCTAACTGATCTATATATAAAAGACAAATAGGGTAAAGACCACATTTATCAAGTCTTTTAATAGAAGTAATGTTCCAACACAGTCCTGTTTTTTCTAAACCATACCCAGCATGAGTGCGGAATAATTGCTCAGTCGTGTGATAAGACAAGTTTATTATTAGAACAGCTGCTTGACACTAAGAGAGTAAATTATGTGCACTCTTGAAGGAAATTGTTTGAAAACCTGTTCCCTTCTCTGCTCAGACAAGTGTTATGGGAGCACTACCAAATGTATAATTCCAGCATAGAGAAGGATATTAAAAATTGATGACTTTTGTTATTGGCATAGTTAATTTCCCTAATGCTGCGCAGTACCTCTCACAAGATATATATATATATATCTGTCCACAAGGAGGGAGTAGTGTGTTGCATTTGACTTCCACACCAACTAATGCATGGAACTGTTTTGTTTTCTGTTGCAGAAAAGTTATACTCTGAATCTGGTTGTGATTGTTCTGTCCTGTGCACTGATTTGAATTTTCACAACAAAAAAAAAACCATTACTACCACTAAGTCTCTGAGAGGGCATATACTATAAGTAATGTACCAGCGATCACTTCTTTTGCATCCCTTCCTATGTTCAAACACTGAAGTATATGAATGAAGACTTACTAAGGTAAGAGCCAATCACAATGTTATTTTATTAATGGTTTATAGTGCTGTGGAATAAAATGTTCATTACAGTAAATCATATATTTTGTGTTTGTTCTCTTGTCATTGTCACAGAACAACAACAATATGAAGCCCAACAATGACAAAAAAGAAAGTTGAAGATGAGTCAAAAAGTAACCATGTCAATAAATAATACTGTTGTTAAATAATTAGAAAGGATTGTAAAAGTTAAATAAATGCTTCATATTTATCCTTTTAACTTAAATCAGTTCCCTGTTATTACTCTCTTTTTTTTCCTAATTCAGCTTGGTACACATTTAATCGTTTATCCATATCCAACACTTTCCATTTTCCTCAACACATGCAATTTTCTCGTGTTTATAGGATACCAAGATTTCCATTGGTATGTAGCTTAACTGAAAACATGGGTGGAAAATAAAATTACCAAGCACTAGCTTTTTCCGCTGGCTACATCTCTTTGTAAAACTACTGTAAACCATCAAGCGCATGTCATATTTATGATCCATTTCCTAATGCTGCAGGATCACTTCTGTCGTCTTTGTAGCTCACTCACTCTAGAGCACATGTGTCAAATCAGGCCCTTGGTGGATTTAATTTCGGCCCGCAGGATAATTTTTAATTACTATTAGATCTGGCCCGCCGGTATATTGCACGCACACCTTCACTCAATCCTGAGAATTTCCTCAGCTCAGAGCCTGACCCCAAACATTGATGAACTTGCACCCAAGATGAGATGCCAAGTATCTGGCTTGAACTAGCATCACAGAGCAGCACACTGAGTTTACATGGATGTTTCCTTCTGCACTTTCTTTCTTGCGACAACAGGGCATGTTTGGTTTTTTCTTTGAGGGAAATTGTTTTGTTGAAGCTGTTGTTGGCCTGTGGAAAAATGTAATGATAAGAAATGACTGAGGAAAAGCTACAGATAGAACCATAAGAAATGAATGCAACTGATTATTTCATGTTTAATGTTGTTTTTATAGGCAATCATTTAAGCTTTGTTAGTTCCAGGTTTAATATGTGCAATAAGTTAATTTCAATAAGTTTTGCAATAAACATTGAACCAGTCCGGCCCTCGACTAGACCGATTTTTAAATTTGGCCCACTGTGTATTTGAGTTTACACCCCTGCTCTATAGGCTCTTCATTATCTTTAGCACAGCCTTGCTATTTAAGGCTTATCAAACCTCTTTAATTTAGTTAAAACATTAAAAGGGGCCACAAATCACATTTACACAAAGTCAGAAGTCGTGTTTCATTGATGTTAATCATCAAGATAAGAGATGTTACTTAAAATTACAATAATGGTATAAACAAGCTAGGCTACTGAGTAGTGTTAGCTAGCAGCCTTTTGCTACTGTTGAAGCAATTATACATTGATGCTAAAGCCATATTCAGTGCATATGGATGACAAAGAAAACATTTACTGGCTCATGGAATATTTAGGAGAAAGTTAGATTGGGCTACATAACATTAGCTCCCAGGAAGACTGGTAATTTAACAGTAAGCTAGCAGTGTTCAGTTAAAGGTAGGGTAGGTAAGAATGGAGAAACCAGCTCGAGTGCGCTAGAATTTGAAAGTACGCAGCCGAAAAAAATCTGCCCCTTCCTTCAGACTTCCTTACAGAACCCCTCCTCCAACACACACGAATGCACACTGACCAATGAGGGCACGAGATAAGTTTGTGCACAGATGGAAGGCTGACAGGCAGGTAGGCCATCCAGTTATTTTAGCCGGGCCGGCTCAGATGATTGGTCGTGCTTTTTACAGCGCTACGGCTTCCACAGATGACATTTTTTATGTATTTATTGTCAAAGCATTTAATATATTCATTGCTATCGGGATGTTAAGAGCATTCCATGGAATATAACAAAAAGTGTTTCTCAAGTGAATTATACTACCCCACCTTTAAGCTAGCTAGCTACTATTAGTTATTTTAACCTACAATCAGATCAGTTTTGGAGGTTAAAGGAAAACATTTAAAAGCTTTATGTTTCTTTAAACACCACATTTTGATTATTTTACTAACAGTATTTTGTGTTTCTCATGTCTGATAAACCTTCACTGCCATTAGTCAGTTATAGCGCTACATACGAGAACAGATGTCTTATCATGGCACTTTTATTTTCCACACCGGATGATTTTAAAACCACAAGTGTTGAGATTGAGAAGTAGGGTAATATTATCAGGCAGCACGGCAATATGTGGTACACATACATATTTTACACATATTAAAATTGGCACCAAAGAATAAATCAGTAAGTTCAAGACTTCGAAGCACTCTTTACATTTATTTCTGTCAGGAAACCAATGTAATAAAACATTGTGTGATTTATGTTTATGATGCATAATTGCCAACTAATGGCAACTGCTCATCAATTAAATATCTCACTAGAGATCATTAAGTTAGTGTTATTGGAAGTCATTGAAATGCAACATGTTAATTTCCCAAGGCATCCTTCTGGTGAGAGAAGCAATTTCCTTCACTCTGATATCTTTATAATTTGCTTTCCAATGTTCCCCCCTTTCATCATGGAGCAAAATGCATCTGCAAGAAAATTAAAAAATGTTTAACTTCTGGTGAATAAACAAACGAAAGTCATAAATTAAAGGAAAATGCAATCATTTAAATCTACATACCTCCCATCTTTTCAATGCCTTCCACCACAGTTTCCAGCACCTGCAGAGTGAAAGCACAATTACAATGATGTCAAGAGAACGACGGGGGATTGGCATTGATTTTGCAAAATAACAAAGACACCCACACACTCTCATCAATCATTCCTCCTTACATTGATGTGTCTTGATTTAACTAGCTGGCTGAGTTCACAGAGGGCAGCGTCTGCTTTGTTCATGTAGTTAAGCACTGTAAATCGTTCCCGGGTGATATTCTTCCTTCGCAGGGTTTCCTGTATCTCCTCGCTCAGAGGCGGAGGATATGGCACATCTTTGTTATACTGTGAGATCTGCCCACACAGGATCACATGGCTGTTGTTGTTCATCTGGAGGTTAGAAGAGTGTCAGAGATCAATGTGTGAGAATGAGTTAAAAAGACACAAAACACTCATTGTTAAAGATAAGGGCAAAACACTTCTGAACACATAGTAGCCAAAAATCTAATTTTGCAATTGTTGGTAGAACAGTTAGGCAAAGATCAAACAAATAATATCTCATAATTCACATATTTTCAAGCCAAATAAACCACAAATTAAAGTACGATACGCTCTGCACAAACACAAATCAAGCAGTACCTGTGCAATTACAGTATCACTGATGCCACCTCCCACGTTGTCAAAGTAAACATCTATCCCATCGGGGCAGAGCTCCTGGAGCTTTGCAGGTATGTCCTCTTTGCGGTAGTTGATGGCTGCAGAAAAGCCGCAGTCATCCACTAAAGCTCTGCACTTCTCTTCAGAGCCACAAATCCCAACCGCTCTCACACAGCCATCCAGCCTGCCGATCTGGAAAAATAGAAGCAGTTAGAAATAATAGAATCAGGACTTCACTTTCTTCCTTTGTAATCCAATCTTGTTTATTTTGGCAATGTGTTTTTTCTAGATTGGATCGGCTAACCTGAGATTTGTTTCTAAAATTATAAAGTTATAGTTCTCACCATTTTGCCTTTATATTTGTTTCATCACAAACCATTACAAAATAGAAAATACTAGGAATTACTGCAAAAAACTCAGGTATAAGCCCTACAATTTTAAGAATAATTTTACAAGTTGTAAGTATCTCATGTAACTACAGCTGTATAAACATTACATTTTATTTGGACCTAAATCTGAAATTGCTGTATTTACCTGTCCAGCTACGGAGCCACAGGCCCCGGCGGCGCCACTCACCACCATGGTCTGATTGGCCCCTTTGGTCACATTGCCCTTCTCCCTTACGCCTAACAGTGCAGTGAGACCTGTTATCCCAACTGCACCCAAAAAGTACGACAAGTGTCCATCGACCACCTGTGGATCAACCTGCAAGAGACGGAAGGTAATATCTTTTTTGTTGTCCTTGATGTCAGTATTCGAGATGATTTCATGTCACATGCTGGTTACTTTAGAAGCATGCATGCATATTAAACAAATTCTCCTTTTGCATTAGAAAATATGAACTATGGTCTTTATCCCAGGGACACACAATAATATGACATACCTTTTGTAAGGCACTTCCTTTCATGACAGCTTTGGTCTGCCAAGGCCAGTTGAATGAAGTGACCACATCTCCCTCACTGCAAGCACTGCAGCGACTGGACTCGACCACACCGACACCTCCACCATCTACACACTCAGACAGCTGCCATGGAGTCACATAACCAACACCGGTGTCTTCATTCATTCTGCACCGCTGAAAAGAACAGAGATTGGTAGGAGTGATGGAGAAGCTTTACAAGTGGTTTAATCCTTGCCTCTTGTCTTAGACTTTCAATAGATATCCCAGATGGACAAATTATCCTTCAGTCTTTGTAATTTTACATAAAACTCATCTGCTTTACACCATTTCTTTATACCAGACAGTGTGTAATCTCAATATGCATTATACATGCAGATACAATAACTTTGATGATTGATGTCCATTCTGATACTGATTCAATATACCATGTAAGGGTCGACTGAGAGGCAAAGCGTCCGGACAAGGACCTCCCCATCTTCCAGGTCAGGTGCCAAAGTGGTCTCCTCTAGGCGGAAATGTGCAGGAACTGGCACTCCGTTGTTACCTTGTGCATAATAAGTAGTTTGAGTAATCGCTAGCCACACGTGTGCAGTAATGTTGCAGCACAGGACACACACAAAACAGGTCATCTCTTAGGAAAAGTGTCCTACCTGGTCGTGAGTTGAGAACGACTCTCTGCACCGGCATCCTTGGAAAGTAACGCTAGCCTTGATGTCTATGCTAAGTGGCCCTGGTACCTGAATTAAAAACCCGACCTGGCAACAACCGTCAAGTTTGATAAGAAGTGTGTTAAGAAATGTCTGGTTGTTATATAAAATAGCAACACGAAAAGTGTCCAACTTCTTGTAAAACCTGTTACAAACACTGTGTTAACATTCCTTCTGCTCTGTCTGTAGGAGGTTAGCAGAAAGTCAACAGACCGAATCAATAGAAAGCAAGATGGTTCCCTGTAACCAACTTCCGTCTCCCAATCGGAAGTTAAACCGATTTTATTTTTACCTAGCAGTGAATTGACATATTATATTGATTACGTGTCTATTAAAAAACAACTATATTTAATAAAAAATGTAAACTAGTGATAACCTTGTTTCACACACCCAGGATGTATGTCTTGAAAAACATTGTTGCTGGCAGCCGTTACATTTAATATATTAATAAACATTGTATAATACAATATATTATTTCAATATGTTAAATACAAAAGTATATTATATTGCACTTTTTAATAAATGTTAATGCTTATATGAAGTATTTATACGAAAGTGCGAGATTATTTGCCCCATGTATAGCGGGTGGGAACCATCTTGTCGTTCATATGTAGTCTTTTCCTAGTTTAGCCGTTAAAGGCAAAGGCAGTTACTGCAAATCAGAAACGGTACGCGGCCTTAAACAGCTATTAATCCAGCTCATCAACGCTGCAAGTATTAAACTATATTTAGCAGGGTATTAACACACATTTAAAATCGATGTTGCCAATGCAATCGATCTGCTTCTCATTAAAACTCGTAAAGTGGGTAACTTGTGAAGTCCCATAGATGGGTTGCACACAGTATCTGTTGCTGCTAGCTAAAAGTGTCTCAAACTGGGAAGTGACGCTTCGTGGAGGAATCTGAGAAAAGAGTACCGTTACGTGGGTGTGATCTTATATGAGTAAGGATCGTTGCTGTTACAGGAGCTTACCCTGCAGCAGGACACCGTGAACACAAGGACATGAAGGCGTATGTGCCATGGAGGGACAGAGTTTAATGTAAGTACTGTATAAGGCTTTTCGCTTGTGCATGCCAACGCTGTGCTATGTGTTTTGTTTATGATGGTCCTCTACGCTGGACCTAACGTGTTGTTTGTGGACAGCTAGCTAGTCTGGACAGAAGCTAGCTTCACTTCACCCTCTCTCCCTCACATAAACACATGTCACAATCACAGAAAGACCCAGAAGAAAGACTCTCCAGTGTGCAGTTTACAGTGCAACATTACTACCTGTGGCTATCTTCCTGGTCTTTGCTGTGCATTAAAAAAAACGTTCCTACAAAACAAGTACACTGGTTTAAAGTAACTAAGTATATTTACTCAAGTACTGTACTTCTTGAGGGACTATTGTACTTTATTTGAGTATTTCAATTTGTTTTCTACTTTGTACTTCTACTACCCACTACAATTTAGAAGTAAATTGTGTTATTGTATTTCACTACATTTATTTAATATTTTTAACTATTTTGCAGATTTGGACTAATAATGTGAAATATAAACAACACTTAAAAGTACTTTTGTTAAACCTGGAGTAAATTCACGAGCTAACCTGCAGCAAAGCAAAGTAATTAAACTAGTTGCAATTTGACCAGCTTTGATAACACTTTAATGCATATATTATTCTGAAATGGACCAATCTGCATAATGAGTACTTTTACTTTTGGTACTTTAAGTATATTTTCATGCTAATAATGTTGTACTTTTACTTGTAACAGAGTACTTCTACACTCTGGTACTTCTACTTTTACTTAAAGTACAAGATCTGAGTACTTCTTGCACATTTCTACAAAACATATGTGATCAACATGATCACTATATTATACAATGATTTGTTTAATTTGAATGTCAGTTCTAAAAGTCAGTACATGTTGGCCTTTTGGCTAACAAATAATAATAGGGAACTTTAAATCCTTATAAAATGGAACGTCTAAAAATACTTCCCCCTGTTGTTCACTTTATGTCCCTCACCATTTTATACAATTTGCTTGTTTTGTTTGATCAACATTCAAAAACCCAAAGATTTTTCTCTGTATAATGAAATATAACAGGAAGTAGAAGCAAGTCTTCCCTTTCAAGGAACTTTAAATATAAAATATGTTTCTTTCTTGCTTGAAAATAACTATTAATAGATTATCTGATGACATGCTGATTCAATTTTCGACTGTTGACTTAACAATCCATCATCTTTTCCACACTACTGGAATCAGCTTCAACAAACCATATGGTTGAAGCCATGTGAAAAGGTTGTGTTGCACACTCTCAGCACAGTGCAGTGACAGTGTCCCTGGCGACAGACATGTCAGCCTGACTCGACTTCTTGTCAACAGGCATCTGTGAATGTGTTCAGGCTTTGCACGTTATTTTAAGGGTCAGAGTGAATAGGGAGAGACTGCAGCCCGGCAGAGTCTGGCTGGATCATGCCTGCTCATGTCCAGTGCCATTATATCACAACATTTCCAACATCTTCCCATTATACGTTTTTTTGCAATTTGCTTTGTCATAGTAGAAAAGTGCAAGTGTCTCTAATAACAGTAACATGGGTTTGGTTCTTCTCAAGTGTCCCAGTAATCTATTGAGGTGTGGCAGCAAGCCAGCATGCACAATACAAAGACCCGGACACTCAAACAACTAAAAGGAATTGAACCATCTTAACCTTATTATTTACTCCTGTGCTTTGAAAGAACCTGTCTAGTGATGATCTCCATATACATTTTTCTTGAACAACTTTCATATTGTGTTAGCACTATAATTAATGATGAATGTTAGTTTAAAACATTTCTCACTAATGAATTCATCATTAATATTTTTCAGAACAACTTCAAATGGCCCCATGGTGATCAGGGTCACTTTTAATGCAGGCTTTCATTTTATTTGTTTGACATTACATCACTTTGTAGTCCACAGATCACCTTGCAACATTAGGGCGTGGTAAAGTATTCATTTGGTATAGGATAGTTATTAACTCACATAAGCAAAGGTTAAGGACTGTTTAACACTAAGAAAAATATTTGAAGATTGCCCCCTTCAAACATTTTCATTATTTACTCCCATTTTAGAGAACAAATATTGAATTGAGAAAATAACAACAGATGACTAAATAATTAAAAAATAATTATTTGTTGCTGCCCAAGTTTAGTATTTATGTTAGTCATTCCTTATGTAACGCTTTCGAACTGGCTCCCTTCATGTCCCAGTTTTTATTATAGCTTTTAATTGAATACTGAATAATTAACGAAAACTGATTTCACTCTGAAAATATCCCCAGCAGCTCCAACAACAAAAAAACAGAAAATGAAGAGTCTCCCAACCACTTCATGGGGCCTTGCTGCATCTGTTTGCTGTGTCATGCATTTCCAGGGAAACTTAGTCATTAAAAATAAGTTTGTAACTGGCTGAAAAGTGAATGTTAGCCAGGTGCGTCCTTTCCCTTCCCCTTCATCCCCGCAGTCCTCCCATATGTGTTGGAATTTCCCGCATGGGCTGAGAGGGATCTTGCTCGGTAAATTACAGCGCCTTGCTTGTCAGAGGAAAGCCTTGTATGGGCATGGAAGTAGGTGTGGCCATGGAGCTGGAGCTGCTGGTGGCGACGGAGGGGGGGGGGGGCATCACAAGACAAGTAGAGACACGGAGGGAGTCGATGCACAGCAAAAGGGCCGCATTACCAGCGTGAGTTTTTTTTGTGCAATCTTAGTGCAATAATGTGCAACAGACAGCGGTGGCACTGCGCCCGCGTTTCTGCACATTAGCGCTGCGCTTCCATCCGGGAAGGACTCTGTTTACGCATCGACCCCCTTTTTTTCCCCTCTTGACTTTAAAGCGAGGGGGGGGGGGGTTGTTGAGGGAAAAAGTACCAGTGAGTGAGGTCAGCAGCATAGCATGAGTCAACCTTGGGGATGTATGCAGTCATCATCATCATCATCGCAGGGCTGTATTGTGCGGGCCCGCTGCTGGCCGCACAGAGCTGCCACTGTGCGATCCTGCGGGCGAGGAGCAGCTCTCATGACCAACACAGTAAGTATCGGCACAGACAGGGTGCTGCTGCTGGAGCCGCGGCGTCGATGACTGTGGCGTTGTTGTTGTTGACGTGCTCCACACTGCATGTTATTGTTGCAACAGACAAAGTTTTGTTTACCTCGCTGAAGGCTGTTGATCCAGCCTCCAAACGGGCTCATATAGGATGTGTTTTCATGTCGAAGATGATCGATTGCACACTCACAGACAGAGAGACATGTGACGTCTTAACCTTGTTGACAAGTTGAAATGACCCACTGTGTTTGTTTGTGTGCCGTGCAGCCACGCTTTTATCATGCAGGCTGCAGGGCTGGCTCTGTTTGTGGCATTGGTGACTGGATTATCCGTTTTCTGCAACAAAGGGATTCTCGTAAATAGCGCTGAGCTGGCTGGACACAGAAAGTAATGTTCAGGGAGGGGGCAGCAGGAAGAGTCCTGGCGCATGTTTTTCTCCCTATATTTTCCTTATGTGTCGTCTCGTGCACGCTGCAGGCCTACAGCATGCACGAGCTGGTGTACATGAGGAAACGGCGTTGGATTAGGGCGGCTAATGGTGCTCCACATGTATTTTAAGCCAATTTAAAGTGTTACTTTTGTGTATTGGGCTAAACCCTGGGCTTGGGTAAGGTTGCATGATGTGATGCGTCACCATGATCCCTTCACCTCGGATGGAGTCTAGTTCAGTGCACAGAGTGCTCACAGCATGGTCGCTCAGTAGGCAGCAGTTGTGTTTGTGCTCTTTCTGCAAGGGGACTAGGATTGATTTATGTGCACCCTTTTACTGAAAGGATGTTTTATAGGATTTGACAACATGGCCATAGGCATTTGTAACATCACATGGCCTTGCTGGTGCACACACAGAATTAGACAAACGCACACACTGTTTGGTAGCATGGTCATCCAGCTTCCACAGTCAGAGCTACCCCTGAGCCAGTGCAGGATCTGAACAGCTGCAGATGTCTATTTTAAGAAGCGTGTGCTTTACTATGCCACCAGAGGAAAGGGTGACGATTATCAGTCACTTCCTAGGTTGTCAGAGATGTCCATGTTGTAAAATATTCCAGTATTCATTTATGTAACCATCTTGACATATTGTTTTTGTAACATGAGTCCTGCAGATTATGATAATTCTCTTAGTGATGAAACAGCCTTAATGGTTTCTGTCTGGGTGATTTCTGCACACACGTTACAGATGGAGCACGGATTTAAATGTTCGGGATCTGTGTGCTTCTTGAAATTTGGCAGCATGCAATGTCAAAAATCTGCTCCCAAACCTTGCCATCAGATAATATTTTTGATAATCACCACGTGTTACCATGGAAATTGTCAAGAAGCGAGCTATCGAAGCCTGCAAGGCCATTTTGACTTTTTTGCCTCTCAGGGATCGTTTCATCATGAGTCATGCTTTGCTCACTTTCAGTTGCCGTTCCTTTTTTTAGTCTGCAGCTGCGGTTCAAAGGGCACGGGTTCTCCTTTCTTCAACTCAAATGATTCATACAATTGTAAAAAGAGTTTATATCATGTTAAACCAGCTGTTGTTTGTAGTTTGGCGGGAAAGAGAGCTTCTGTTCAGGTCAGATTGAGCCCTGAGGGACTTGCTTGTATTTCCTCCTATCCCATCATCAAAATTGGTGCAGTCATATTTTGTAATAATGACATTTCCAGCAACTATTGATTACGGTGTCTTTTACCAACTACCTTGCAGTAGTATATGCAGGGCCGGTCCATATGTTCGCCTGTAAGCAGGACCTTATCCCTGTCATGTGAGCTTAGTGAATAATGACATTAAGGCCTTCCCCTCCCCTATTGTCATACTCGTTACCTTTCAGTGGAGGTCTATTGTTGAAAAAGCAAACAGCAGGTTTTTACATGGCTGAGGCGGGGATGGTAATGGGCCCCCCCCCTGCGGGACCTCTTTAGTTTGATGGCTCAATGCTTGACCTCTGTCTCCTTTCTCTATACAGGGTGTTGCCCATGAATGAGAAAAATACACGGACTTCTTCAGATCTGCTCACCCCAGGCCAGCGACCTCTGACAGGGTCACAAAGAAGTCCAGAGGGGAGGAGAAGATTATCCTGGTTGACCTTTCTACTGCTCACTCAGATGTCAATGTAGTTTGAACACTTTATTTAACTGGTTTTTGGATTTATTAACAAGTGATCCAGTGGAACATTATTAGCTGGTTTGGTTGGGAATATTTATCAGATTTCTTCATGCCCGTCATGAGTGTACCCACCCAGCAGAAACCCAGCGCCAAGAGAACGGGCAAACGCATCACATTTTTCCGCGATCAGAGCATAGCAATGAAGGAAACGTCTCAGCACCCTGAAGGGTCCTACTATGTCCCAGGTGGCCCTGCCTCAGACCCCGGACAGAGTGAGGCTGCAAGTACTGTGACTTCAAATCCAGAGGCCCCTCACATGTACCTTAACTCTGTTATCTTCAGCCCAGACAAAGGGGACCAGAGCAGGGGTCATTATCAGCAGACTGTGCCTATGAAGTGGGCCCACCAGGAGCCCGCTCAGCAGCAGCCGTCTCTGTCCCAGCAGCAGAGAGCCGCCTCCTGGAATACCATGACAAACTGGGGACAAAACTTTGCAAATTACATAGGGGGCGTAAACGTAACAGACTCAAGGACCCAAAATGCATTTGTAAAATCAATGCATGAGCCTTCTGGCTTACAGCCGCATCAACAGCCCCCTAACAGAGCTGCAGAAAAGCAGCCTCCGGGTCCTAACCCTGCAGGCGAAGCATACAGGGATGCTGTTAAGGCTCAGGGCCTGGATTGGGAGCAGCAGCAGTCCGAGGCCTTTCAGGAGACGTTGAAACCCGGCGCGCTGAAGCCCCAGCAGCACAGCACGTCTCACCCCGGAGGAAGCTCAGTCTTGCAGCCCTTTCAGTTGGCCTTTGGGCAGCCCAAGCACCCTGCCGGCGTACTACCAGGCCTTTCAGGGCAACAGGACAACGCTACCTAACCCACCCAACTACCCAACACAAGCAAAGCCCCCTCCCCAGTTGCAGCAGTTGCAGAAGCAAGAGCAAATACGGCAGCAACAACAGCATCACATACTCCAGCAGCAAATTCAGCAGCAGCACCATCAACAGATGCAGCAGCAACAAATAATTCAGCACCAACAGCACGTACAGCAGCTTCAGCAGCAGCAACAAATGCAGCACGAGCAGCAGCAACAAAAGATACAACAGCAGCAGCAGCTCCAAATTCAGCAGCAACTGCAACATCAGCAGTTGCAACAACAAAACCCTCATGTGCTTGACTATTATCCCGCTGCACAAAATGCACACCCGCAGCCACAGCATTTGGTGGTACACTCCCAGGAGTCCTCGGCCCCAGATCCCTCAAAGATCCAGGAGCCAATTATCCAGGACATCACCCCAGAACCCCTGGAGCCTTCGGATCTGCTGCCGCCCATTCTTCACCCTGAACCCCCAACGCAACCCCAGAACCAATCCCAAACGCAGCTTCGTAGATCGCGACGGCTCTCCAAGGAAGGCGGGGCGCCGTCCGACAACCCTTTTCTCTCCGTTTCTTCGGATCAGGCTGTTCCTGGAGGGCCGCAGGGCTCCCAGAACGGGGCCTGTGACATCCAGGCAGCCCCGACGGGCGTCATCCAGAGCACACGGAGGAAACGCAGGGTGTCCCAGGAGGTCAACCTGGAGACTCTTGCTCAGAAGGCCTCGGAAATGGAGTCTCTACCATCCCATATTGCAAAGGTAAGGGCTCAGTTCACTTTTGAGACTGTCAACATGTTCCAACATTGAATTTTTTTTTTTTTTTTGTTCTTGTTCTTTTGCCCACTCATGTCAGTGTTTCTCAGCTGTTTCCTCTACAGCAAAATAACCTTTTACAGAAAAGGACTTGGTGTTCTGAATCCAGATGATTGCATATCAGTTAATATATAAACCCATCGCTTCAAGCTGTAAGCTTTAATTGTGAATATCACTATGACTAATGATGTATTTTTTTTGTGTTAGAGCAGGGTATAATTGCAGGGGGACTTTAGCTCCCAGAGCAAAAGCGGGAACTGGCACAAAAGGCCTAACTCTACTGCCAGGAAAACTGTGCCAAAACTTGTGTGGTTTGTGATTAACGTGTTGCTGGAAGAGATGCTGAATGTAATCAACGCCCAACAAAGTTTAAAGTACAGAACTGGGCTGCTCAGCTCTAACTTGTGGGGAACATCTGTCTCTAAAACAAGACTTTGCATTGTGAATATTGTCGCAAGGTAAATATGTGCTTTTCAGCTCTCACTGGATGAATCAATGAACAAATCTGATGAAAACCTCAGGCTGCTCCATGTCGAGTCACTCTGGTCTATGTTTATGTGCTGAATGTCTTTTATTGTGTAACAAGTTCCGTTGCCAAACAGCACTGAGCCAGTATGTCTGTAGTTCAGCACGGCTGTGCCCTGGATTCGCCTCACGGGTAGCTGATCCTACAGACAGTGTGTTTGGTTACATGCCTGCACACCTCCCCCCCCATCCCATCAAAGGAGAGAAACTCCAGCCTGGCCTCCACTGCCCTCCCCCCTCGACACAGGGAGGGGTGCAGGGGTGCCCTGCCTGCAGTGCTCAGCAGAATATCTCTCCACCGCTCTGGTGTAGCGGCTGGAGTTTTCCACCAGCAATAATGAGAACAGATCCAGCGTAGCCACAGTGCTGCATGCCTCCCTGCTCATCAAGATGCAGAGTGCAGTGACAGAATGCATCTGTCTTCAATGATGTGGTGGGAAAAACCGGCTTTGAAGTTGCTCTAAAGCTCACAGGCTGCTCATGCCCACTCATTATGGGTTCTCATAGAGAAAATGTGGAGAATGCTTTTGGGGACGGTTCTTTTTGAGGTGTATCTAAGTGCTGCACCTAGCAGACCTGTGTCAAGGTACATAATGCCTGTTTGGTAAGGCTTTCACTTAAACATTATATAACAGGCTTGTATAAAAGTGAACACTTCATTAGTGGCACAATTTTCTCTTCAGTTTGTGTGAGGAAAAGAGCAGGGTTTCTCTTTTACTGTATTGATTATAATTTAGCAGTCTGCCTGGGTTTGTTAACAGCCATCCAGTCACCGAGGTACAATTTGGTTTGATATCTAATGTGCTGGGTTGTGCTAAGATGGAAAGCTAAGCTATAACTTGAGTTGCTAGAAGTTGTGTCGACTTGCACTTGTTGAGTAGTGCACTGTATCTGCTACACAAGGTGATGATTTGAAGATGTGTCACCTTCAACTCTTTATGTGAGCAACTGGAGTTTTACAACAGGAGTAACAGTCTAAGATGTTGTCTTCAAATCAGCCTTTTATGTAACTTTAATAGCAGCCCTGCTTGATGAGCCCTCCCCATGTGAGGTGCTGCAATTCCAAACGACCTCATTTATATTTTTCTGTTATTATTTTTTTAATTATTATTATCAATTCGGCTTATTTGGCGCTTACATCTGGATGAATCATTCGGCCCATTTCAATTCCCTTAAGGCCAACTTAACAACTTAAAAAGCTTTATTGTCAAGCCAACAGTCAACATTCAAAGGTGTTCAGTTTTTACTCATCAAAAAAAATTGTATTTATTGAACCATAAGCCTTTAGTTTAGTGTCTACTATTTGCAATGAGCAAGCAATGCATTTTCATATCCTGTTGATGTTTTATATCGAGGAGAAATCAATTTACTACTAGATCCCTTGTAACACCTTCCTCCACCCTCTTTTTCAGGAATCCCACCGTTCGTGGAGTCCCACTCAGACAGGGGGTATGAACACCAAGCGGCCTCGAGACGACAGCCTCCTTCCCCTCGTCATCCCCGTGTCCGTTCCCGTGCGAAGGCAGGACCCCTCCTCTCCTCCGGACAGAGATGATTCAGCGCTGGCCTCCACCTGGCCCCTGAGACCTTTAAACCCCCAGGACTTTGGGCGCTCCGACCACAAGCCCTCGGTCATCGTCACCCGGAGACGCTCCCCAGGAACTCGTTGTCAGAGAGCTCAGAGCAGGTGGGTTCATATTAATTCCCAGATGCTTATTTTTTCTATTTATCAGAATCAGAATCCCTTCATTAGTCCCACAGAGGGGTAATGTACATTGTTACAGCAGAAAGAGCAGTTTAATGTTACCTAAGAAGCATGCATAACAATTTTTTTATACTTTTACATACACACTTGCATACATTTATTGAATGGTCAGATTAATTTACTAAGAATAGTGGGGTAGTAGTGTGTGTTCCACTGTATTCCTCAGTCTGTTATCAGTACACCTAAACTCCAGATATGAAGTCGTCGCATTTGAGCACATCTCCCGCCAACACACACACTCCCTTCCCCCCCATCATGCTCCATGTCTCCCCTGCCCCCATTGGGGTCCTCTGCACTTTTCTCCCTTTCCCTGGTTCATTTGGGGGGGATTTAGTGAACTAGATGCCCTGCCCCAGATCAGGCAGATTATCAGGGTTTAGCAATGCCATACTGTACATTATGTACCATACAGTGGAGGGTAGGGGTTGTTCTTTCTCTTGGTAAATAGACAACTGTACGCGCATGCTTATCTTTCATTGAGGTTTTTATGTGTGTGTTTTAGGACTGTCACAAAGCTCCAAAGTTTCATTCATAATAGAACAATTGCATTTTTAACATTAAATGTTGCATGTCCATCCATTCTGTTTAAACCTGGCTTTCCTGCATAGTTGCAGATACAGATTACATTACATTAATATGAGTAGTATTATACAATTTTATAGAATTTAGGTTGGGCGTGTACAGCTAAGCTTATAGATAACATCACGTGTACAGGCGGGACACAAACTAGTAAGTTATTATTAACTTACAGAAGCTCTGTACAATAGTCCACCTCACTCTGTCACACTTTCTCTCAAACACACACACAGCTCTTACCAAAATGTATTTACATTGACAAAACTGACGGGTTTGATTAATTGAAGAAAATTGAGTTATTAAAAACTCAATTTATTCTATTTGACTATTTAGTTTGAAGCTTTAATTGTGTGTGATAAGGTCCTAAAACATGACATATGAAGACACCTCTATAGACAGCGGTGCACATAACTGATACGCAGGTACGCATGCACGGCAAAAATCTGAAATGTGTACCGTCACTTGTGTCGCTAAGCGCCTTTGCGTACCGAGTACTTGTGAAGCTTTTCCAGAAGGCGCTTATGGCGCATTTCCACTACACGGTCGGCCTCGGCCACACTCGGTACGGCTCGGTACGGCTTGGCCACGTTGGGCCTTAACAGGGCCGACTCACTTCATGCTGCGCTTCCATTACAGTTTAGGAACTGGGGTAGTTACTATAGTAACGCAGTGTAGGCGGAGCCGTGACGTCATCTTCAATGAGAAATCCAGAAACACAACACAGCCGTTAGCTGTGAGCACTCAGAGCTCACAGCTCCTTATATATGTTCAGAAACTCGACAAAAGTTAAACAAGTACACACCACAGACTGCCTGTGTCATGGTGAATACAGTCGCTGCTGTATTTATGTCTGTATAGGCCGTTGTTGTGAGTGTGGACGGTCGGGGCATATACTGCGTTAGCTTAGCCAATCTCCATCTAGAAAAACACGAATTTTAAAGGTTTTTCGCCTGCCGTCTGTCTGCAGACTTGACAAAGCATTAATTCATGGTTTTTACTAACCGGTATCAGTATGTTGTTACTTCGGCATCATTTTGAAACGTGTATTACAATTAAATCACGGTCAAATATGTCCATCTTGTTGTAGTTCTAGCCCTCTTGCCAGCGCTCCTCTCTCTAGTTTAGCATACTCAGCCCGACTCAGCCCTGTTGTTGGCCCCGATAGAACCACAATTTTCTAGGGCCAGAAAAGAGGGGAAAAAGTGGCCCCGCGCCGGAACGAGGCCTAGTGGAAGCACAACCAAAAAAGGGGACGGCACGACATGGCACGCTTAAAGCGAGCTACGCGCTGCAATGGAAATGCGCCATTAGATCACTGGACGAGAGAGTCGGTCTCCGTGTGCACAGACGGGCTGCTGTTAACGTTGGTCTGTACAACGGAATTGTGCCAACGCGCAAACACTGGAGAACTGCGCAAAATCAGCTGATCACAATATTCACGCTCTGTGGTCCCGAAGTACTCCACTAAGCACACCCCCCCACCCCCCCGTCGGCGTTCGCGACACAGAGGGCTTCAGGCTCCATCACATAACTTTGCGTGGGGCCAGAAGTACCGAGTACATCTGAGTACCTTCATTGAGAAAGTTATGTGCACCCCTGTCTATAGTAGCATTGCATGTAAAAAAAAAAATAAAGTGCACTGCGATGAATCTAACTGAAACTATAATTGTTTCCTCTCCAGAATGGAAGAAGTGAAGGAGAGCGGGACGACGACGGCAAAAAGTCTAAACGGCGTCCCCCGGCCTGAGCCTCTTTTCATCCCGCCGCCTAAACCTGGTTTATTCATCGCCCCTCCCATGTACTCCAGCATCACACCCTACCAGAGCCACCTGCGCTCCCCTGTCCGCCTCGCTGAAAACCCCGTTCTCCATCCCCCCCTACACCCCCCCGCCGATCCTCAGCCCTGTCCGAGAGGGCTCCGGCCTCTACTTCTTCCACCGTCCTGTCGTCGGCTGCAGCCAGCGCCCAGGGCCTTGCCGCCTCCTATCACCCCCAAAGTCTGCAACACGCAGCCTGTTGCGCTCCAGTGAGTAAAACAAATAAAGAAAATACCTGTCTGAATTATCCACGGGGCATCTTAACTGTGGGCATCTTTTGAAAGTTAAGATAATAACTTGCAGGGTATTAACAGTGCATGTGGACATTATCAAGGAGTTCAAATGACACTTCATTACCAGCTGCATTGTCTCTTGTGACTCACTTATACTCGGGAAGGTAGGCAATCTGAACATTTCAATAAAAAACCACAATACAGAGAGGTGAATGTAAATATGTAAAACAAATAGTTATAAAATGTGGTTTGAAAGTTAAGATAATAACTTGCAGGGTATTACACGTGAGGATACATTTAGTTTAACCCTTTAAATATCAGTCGGGGAATCTTTTTTGGACTCATTTTAGAGTTGCATCTGGCAAACATTTCCACTGATATCAGATTTTTTTTAAGTGATTTAGGAAAGTCACTTTATAAATATTAAAATGATGCCTGACGGATTTCTGTATTTGATATTCTTGTCTTTTTAGCTATGGTTCTGTACATCTACTTCCATATCACTGAGTGCATGTTGTGTTGCCTCTCTAACAGACAGCTGTGACATCACACCACCCGTTCTGTTCGGCTATCGGAGAGGCCACTCCAGTCAGCATAGAGCCGTGAGTATTTCCCTCTCAACTTCCACACATTATCTTCTTCCATTGTAGAAAGGTTTTGGGCTTATGGGGGGGGGGATGTTGTTTTCTCATTTCCAGATCATTTGATGGGCAGAGCATGCATTACCATAGCTGGAGTAGAAGCTCTGCAATCAATTAATGAAATCACAACACTGGGATGAATAATGAATGTCTTGAAAGCGAACATAGATTTCTTGAAATGCTGAACCCATCTTTTAAGGCGTTCCTCCTCCCCACCCGCTGATACCACTGGAATCTTTTGCCCTGTCATCCACTGCTAGCATTAGCGCCAGCCTTCGCCTTCTTATCTAACAATGCAGTCTAATGTCTCAATAAAAAGTAACGTCCGGTAATAACAGTCAGATAAAGGGCAAGGCAAGGCCAAGTTTATTTATATAGCACATTTCAAACACAAGGCAATTCAAAGTGCTTTACCAAAAATTAAAGACATTAATAGCATTTAAGAAACATATTTATGAAATTATATCTAAAAACACAAATTTAAAGCAATGATACATGAATCACAGTTACAGTGCAGAGTGAGAGATGCACACATCTGAACGAACCCCCCTTTGGAAAATTATAATGTGACTCCATGGTACCTTTTTAGTTTTCGCCAAAACTATTCCTCTTTTCTTTAAATGCACATTAGTTAAAGGTAGGTAGGTAAGTTTGAGAAACCGGCTCGAGATCGCTAGAATTGAAATAACACAACCGAGAAAATCTGCCACTTCCTTACAGATCCCCTCCTCCAACACACACGAACACGCACATGACCAATGAGGGCACGAGATAAGTTTGTGCACAGATGGAAGGCTGACAGGCAGGTAGGGCCATCCAGTTATTTTAGCCGGGCCGGCTCAAATGATTGGTCGTACTTTTTACAGGTACTACGGGCTTCCACAGATGAATTTTTTTTTATGGATATTTTGTCAAAGCACTTAAGATATTTATTGCTATCGGGATGTTAAGAGCATTCCATGTAATATAACAAGTGTATCTCGAGCCGGTTTCTCAAACTTACCTACCCTACCTTTAAGTTTAAGTTGTCTTTTCTAGGACTTTTTTGGTGTCCTCCGCGAACCAGGGTCTTAAAACCAAAACGGCACACGTAGGGGACTTTAACCACCTACGAGGGGACTTTAACCCCAATAGTGACTTTAACTACCTTTGGGGGGACTCAACACAAAAGGCAATTCAAAGTGCTTTACAAAAATGAAAGACATTAAGAAAAATGGCATTAAAAAGCAAAGATAATAAAAGTTACAGTGCAGTTTAAGATATTCATTTCATTTAATTTCAAACCTTTATTTAACCAGATGGTCCCATTGAGATCATAGATCTCTTTTTCAAGGGAGACCTGCAGCATATAGGTTCCCACATGAAACATAAAACAATAAAGGACATCATACATTATATTTACAGGATACATTTACATAGTTATAGACATTTACAAGTACCATAGTATCAACGAGCTTTCATTTTAGCCTAGCTTTAAAAACATGCAGAGGAATGAGATTGCTTTTCAATTCTTGCTGAAGATTGTTCCAAGCAAGTGGAGCTGCGCACATAAAAGCTGTCTTACCTAAGACAGTCCTTGCTCTTGGCACATCTAACATACTACATCATGCGATCTCAGACAATAGCTGCTTGCAACTCTCTGTGTTATCAGAGAGCAGATATAAGATACGGGAGGTTAACACCACAAAGCTTTATAAATAAACGTGTACCAATGACTGAGCCTCCGTACAGTAGTGATGGCAAAACCTGCCTTGGCGTACAGGGTACAGTGATGTGTAAGTGCTGTACAATTTGGTGACAGCATCTCAGTGCGCTGTGATAGGCGGCATCTTAACGTGTTCAGGCAACGGGGCAGGTGCATTCATATACAACAAGTCACCAATAGTCCAGCACAAGGTAAAAAGGTCACAGTGACTAGCCTCTTCCTGGCCTCAAGTGAGAAACAGGACTTGTTTCTGAAAAAGAAACCTAGTCTAACACCTCAGCCTTTTAAGCAGGTTATTGACATGAAGTTTAAAAGTAAGACAATCATCAAGCCAGATGCCAAGGTATTTATAACAGGCAACCACTTCTAGTACTTGTCCTTGCACAGTAACAATATCTAAAACAGGCTCTGGTGTCTTTTTAGCTTTTGAAAAAAGCATTACCGTTGGTTTTATCACATTTAAAAGAAGCTTTAGTTCAGCGAGCTGAGTCTGAATAATGTTAAAAACAGCCTGTAATTTAACCAACCCGCCTCCTTAAATGGAGGGACCTGCACAGTACATCACGGTATCATCCGCATAAAAATGTAAAGTAGCTTCAATCCACATTTTCACCTAAACTGTTGATATATATGGAGAATAAAAGTGGACCTAAAACAGAACCTTGAGGAAACACCATTAGCAAATGTTCAAACCACTCAGAAGACAGCCCATCAAAGTGAACACCTTTCAGGAGGTAGTTCACAACAACCACCCACTGCATGGCTGGATAAGCCAATACTGAGTAAGCCTCTGCTTTAAGATGCAATGATCGACGGTATCAAACGCTTTAGAAAGATCAATAAATAGAGCTGCACACTCTGCTTATTATCTAAAATACTCCTAATGTCATTCACCACTTTCATTGTCGCAGTGATGGTGCTATGTTTCTTTCTGAAGCCTGACTGATGTTTAGACAGGATATCATTTTTACATAAAAACTCCTTTACTTGTTCACGTCACTAGGCGTTCAAGAACCTTCGCCAGAACTGACAATTTAGAGATTGGCCTATAGTTATTTAAAATAGTTGCTTCCCCTCCTTTTAGCAAATGCAAGACATAAGCTGACTTCCATACTTTAGGAATTGCATTTGTGCTGAGGGAGAGGTTAAAAAGAGAAGTGAGAGGTGGAGCAATAAAATCTGCAGCTATCTTTAAAAAGAAAGGTTCTACGTTGTCCGGGGCCGGCCGGTTTCTTAGGATCTAACTTAGATAATGCTTCATGAACAACATTAACAGTAAAAGGTGTAAAACTGAAAGGGTTTTCCAGACCACATTGTTCAGAGTCACCGACTGTGGTGTTCACAGAAGCAGAGTTAGTCACAGAATCAAACAGAGAACCGCAGGACACAAAATGCTCATTAAAACAATTTAACATGTGGCCCTGTCCGATATCGAGCCAGATGCTGTGGTAAGGCACGGAGGTAGCTCATTTCGGATCTCACCGGTGGATATAGATTTTATGGCTTTCCAAAAATTTCCTAGGATTATTTAGGTTTTCTGAACTGACAGATAATACTTCGACTTAGCACTTTCGACATGTGAAGTGAAGCTATTCCTTAGCTGCCTAAAACGCAGCCATTCTACCTCTGAGCCTGATTTCCTAGCCTTTGCCCAGGCCTTGTTTCTCTCATGTAGGAGACTAGACCGTTCAGCAGAAAACCAAGGATTGACTCGTCCCTTTACTCTAAATGTACGCAGGGGTGCATGTCTATCAATGATCTCCATAAAACCAAGATAAAAATAAGACCATGCAGTTTCAACATCAGCACACAGATCGATTTTTCCCCAATCAAACCCAAACAGATCATAAACAAAACCTGCTCCACAAAATGTTTTATGTCTCTCTTAATGAGAATACGAGGTTTAACCTTTTGGACCTTAGTGTCCCTAATTGTGGCTACAACACAGTGGTCACTCACATCATTCGCAAATACTCCCACAGATGAGTATTTAGAGGGAACATTAGTTAGAATGAGATCAATTAGGGAGGATTTATTAGGGGACTTAATGTTCGGGCGAGTAGGACTGTCAACAATCTGAGTAACATTCAGAGAGATACAAAGGTTTTTAAAATCCTCTGACACTGTAGTTAACCAGTCCCAGTTAAAATCTCCAAGTAGCACTATTTCCTTGTAGTCAAGTTGCAATAAAGATTTGCTAGTGAAGACAAGGAGTCCTTGACAGCTGAGGGGGGTCTGTAACAGCCCACCACCATGACCTGTTGCCCCTTTGCCACTTCTATATTTAAGGCTAAAATTTGAATTGCTTACTGATAGATTTGGAAACTAATGTGGTTACACTGAACTTATTCTTAACATAAATGGCAACGCCACCACCTTTATTAGGCCGGTCGCTTTATAAACCAGGAGCAATATTTTGAAATCAATTCTTTGACCGAGATCATGTAAGTGTATTTCAAGTGTACTATGTATGTATTAATTTATTGAGCTGTACTTAAATCAGGTTTTTAAATTGTTTGGATGATAGAGATCATGCAATGTTATTATTTGTTTATTGATTGTTATGAACCTGCCTGAGGACCACAGATGGAAATGAGCTATTAGCTATAATCTGGCATATTGCATCTCTTCTCTTTGCTGAGATTAATGTATGTGTATGCATGGTCCTTCTATAAAATAAATACATACAAGTAGACACACAGGAAGCCAGTGTAAAGACTTCAGAACAGGTGTGATGTGATCCACTTTCTTAGTGTCAGTGAGGACTTTAAAAAGCCTTTTTAAACTAATGACACACTAAACTTACATGCACAGAGATAATAGTTCTGGTTATATTTAAGTTATATATCACATTGTTATTTTAATGAATCAAGATTATAGATGTTCCCCTTTTTTACCATAGAATAATCATTTAAAATAAATAAATGCAAAATTGTTAAGAATTGAGCAATATGAAAGATAAATAAAAGCATATACACAACAACCAGATAAACTAAGTTAAAACTTAATAACATTAAGCTGACATTTTAACTAATTTGTCGGATGTCAGCAGTACCAGTGTTAATGATGCGTAAAAGATAAGGGTTTAGCTAATGCCCATGTAATCATGTCCTACAGCTACACCAAGTCAATCTGGTACCTTCCCGAGTAGGAAATGAACAATTACTGTCAAAGGTCCAAAATGCATATGTGTTTGCAGACACAAACTGAATTTGGTTTGTGTTCATCTCGATAACAAATATACTGCGTTTCCTGCGGCTGCTTCACAATAAAAGCCACCATGTGATTCACATTTGGGACACTTTTAATGTGAAGCAGCGGCAGTAGGATATTCTGTTTGTGTTAGCTGTGACTTAATGAAGCTCTGTGTAAATAGAGTTAACAGTTAGGCCATTATCAAAGAGTTCAAATGACACTTCATTGTCTCCTGTGACTTCCTCATACCCGGGTAGGTAGGCAATCTGAGAATTACAATAAAAACTACAATACAGAGAGGTGAATGTCAATAATTATAATAAAACAGAGATAGTTTATAAAATGTGGTTTTAAAAGTTGTAAAGATAATAACTTACAGGGTATTAACAGTGCATGTGAACCACTTGAACCTTCAGTATATCAGCCGGGTTACTCCTTAAATGTAAACACAGACACGGATAGCTTGGACGTTTGTGGAAATTAGAGCAATAAAAACAGGGGGGGGCTTTAAGGACACTGGGGCTACATTTTAGTTTAACCCTTTATATATCAGTCGGGGAATCTTTTCTGGACTCACTCTAGAGTTGCATCAACAGTGAGGAGCAGTTTATGGGGGTTCATTGTGCAAGCTGTCCCCCGACTGGTGCCAGCTGCTCAGCAGTTAGTCAGGGGCGAGCCAGCGAGGCGGCCCATAAATCATGCCTTCAGCTGGGCCCGCTGTAATCCAAAAAACACAGGAGAGCCATCTCAGTTCAACCTTTAGCAGCCCACCTTCCCTGGGGGAGGCTGCCAGAATACACACACACACACACACACACACCAACCACACCACACACTCTCAGCTGGAAATACTGCAGGCCTACTGGAAAAGCAGGGGAGGGAGGGGGCATGCTAGAACAGGATTGTGTGTTAGTGCAACACAGCAGGATTTTCACAACTGTAGCATTGAGGTATCAGGTTTCAGTGGAAGCCTATAGAGAATGCATGCATCTGTGGGATGATGAGTCTTTCTCCCTATTTGAGGATGACCTTTGTCCCACACCAGGTTCAGGATCCATGGACTTTCAGATCAGTGAATCAAGAAGAGCACACACAATTTGAAAGGGATTTGCATATTATGCATTATGCTGAGAGGGCAAAAGGGGAGCGGTGTAACAAGCTGGAATTCAAATCAGTGCAAGGGTTTCGGTGCTCACAGCCTCAACAATCCTGCTGTGACTATTTAAAGATCAGAGCAGATAGAAAAGCCAAGAATTCAAAATGTGAGCTTAGAAATACAACCAGAGCTTCATTCTTAAAAGAAATCTGGTATTGTTATGTGATATTTAACTGTGAACAAATACCACTTCACAACAAAGGAAGGCACTTGATGAATTGTGCAAAGGGGGGTTCGTTTAGCATGAAACACTTGAAATAACTAAAGGATCAGTTAAAAAAAGAAAGTAGAAAGAAAGTGTGGTCGAAGAAAACCATTTCTGCTAAAAAGTTAGCAATGATTGAGAGTCGGAGCTAAACATTTCAAATGTGTGTATCGCTTTTAAATTAGTGTTTTTCAATGTCCTGTTATAATATGTTTCTTAATGACTTTCATTTTTGTAAAGCACTTTGAATTGCCTTGTGTTGAAAGGTGCTATATATAAATACACTTGCCAAAGATCCCATTTAAGCCCTTGTCGCTCACACTGATGTTCTGTTCCCAGACGGATAAATATTGGGTCGCGGTACCAGGCCGAGGTGCCGGAGCTGAGGCAGCGGTCGGCGGTGGAGCGGGATCACCATCGAGCGGATCAACTCTGGACTCCGCTGACTGAGCTGGAGGAAAAGCCTGACTTCACGCAGAGAGGTAGGAAATGACTAAGGGACAGTTTCATCCCACAGGCCATAAGACTGTTAAACACCTGAACTTTTGAAAGAACATTCATCTGTTCGCAACTCATATATATCAATATTCCAATTACTTGTATATAGACTATTCAGCACTATTTCTATTATATTCTATTTTATTTTATTCACTTGCACTATTATCTGTTTTATTGTGTTGCACTGTTGGAGGAGCCTGTGACCTAAGATGTTCATTGTCATAACTACACTGCAGCTATGTACAAATGACAATAAAATCCTTGAATAAAAAAAAAAAAAAAAACGATTAATATTGGTAGATAGCTTTAGGAGGATCTTGTTACTTGTTAGATTTTTTTTCGACATTATTTACCGAGAAGCTGATGATCTGTTCCAACAGTTCATTTATTTACGACCTTTTCTGTATGTGAAATAATCAGGAAAAGACTTTCTTAAAACTTGAGTCATTTCCTTAATGTGAAATACAGAAGTAACTTTCTGTGCTTTCAATAATTCATCATTACATTTAAAAAAAGCTGCAAATTATTTCTTAGTTTTTTCAAATTTTCATTAAGATACTTAAAGGTGGGGTAGGTAATTCACTTCAGAAACACTTTTTGTTATATTCCATGGAATGCTCTTAACATCCCGATAGCAATGAATAAATTAAATGCTTTGACAATAAATACATAAAAAATGTCATCTGTGGAAGCCGTGGCGCTGTAAAAAGCACGACCAATCATCTGAGCCGGCCCGGCTAAAATAACTGGATGGCCAACCTGCCTGTCAGCCTTCCATCTGTGCACAAACTTATCTCGTGCCCTCATTGGTCATGTGCGAGTTCGTGTGTGTTGGAGGAGGGGCTCTGTAAGGAAGTCTGAAGGAAGGGACAGATTGTTTTTCGGCTGCGTACTTTCAAATTCTAGCGCACTCGAGTTGGTTTCTCCATTCTTACCTACCCTACCTTTTAGGTTTTTAAGACATGCATGCAATTTAAACCTTCCTGGTAAATGCTGCAATTAAATATGATTTGAAAAAAAGACGTAATTGCCACTGTGGGTTGGTTTTGTTTTTGACACAACAGAACTGCTGAGCCTGCATGATTAACAGCAGAGAAACACAATAAAACCACGCTCACAATAATGTTTATAACAATTATCCTCCCACAGCAAGTTTTTTCTCTCACCACAGCGTGCAAAATAATAACAACTCTCTTGCTCACAGTCTCTCTCTCTCTCTCTCTCTGTGTTCACAGTGCAAGACCTCATGCACCTGGCCTGCACCAGTGTTCTGTGTGGAGGAGGCACCAACCAGGAGCTAGCCCACCATTGTCTGTACGAGTGCAAAGGGGACATAATGGTGAGCACAACAGAACAATCCATACTGACTGACAGGGAAGGGGCCTCTGTGATTAATGGAAACATCACTGGTCGGTCTGGTTCTAACATACATGTCATGCACACCAACCTGTTTACCCTTATAGATTGTGTAACACGTGAACTCAAGGGCTTTTAAATTGTGTTTTCTCTCTATGTGATTGGATTTTGCTTCAACAGTCATTTCTGCAGAACAGTTTTAGTCATTTGGCTTTGTCCTTGAGAGAAATATCTATATTTGGATATTTTGGTTTAATCTCCTCACTGGTTTAGGTGAGCAGGTAAATGTCACATACTTTGGTGCACCAATCAGGCATCGGCAATATTCTTCTTTTTCTTTTGTCATGTTCAATTAAATCTGAATCTGAAAGGTCTTTTAAAAAAAGTCATTCATATTTACTGTTTCAGAATAAGACTACTTGTCAAGGGTTTTTAGGGAAGGATTGAAAGAACAAGATTCAATGGATTTTTGTAGTCATAGACAATAGTGGGTTTCTGTAAGTCATAAATGATTTTGGATCATTACTAATCAGATGCATGTAAACACAGAGTTTACAGTACTGATTGTGTTGCAGTACATGTGTCCTTTGACTTCCTGCACCACATTTTCCACCGAGCTGCTTTCTAAACTGTCAATGATTTCTGAACGGAAGTGACTGATCTGCAGACTGCTGTGGTGGCCTGAGGTGACTGAGAAAGTGAAACTGTTTGGTTATTTAGCCAGAGGTGTGTGGTGAGATGGCATTGTGAAGAGCAGAAAGGATGCATCTATGTTTGACTGCTTACTTTTAACCATTACCATATCAAGGCTAGAACCTTTTTGCAATTCCATTCATAGTTTTACAAATATATCCACATTCTCAAAGCTTTTTTCATTATGATAAAAAGCTTACCAAATATTTGGGTTTAGGTACCTTGAAAGTACATTAATTTGACCCTTACAAAGCTGCAATAAACTAGTTCCAGCTTCTCAAATCTGCTTTTGGTCCTATGTGTAATAATAAACTAAATATCTTTGGGACTGTCAGACAAAACAAGACCTTGGAAGAAGTCTCTCCATTCTTTAGGATACCGTGATTGATTTTTCTTTCTTTTGTCTTTCATATTTTATTACCAAAAGCTAAAATTGTTAATCAAAAAAATAACCTCAAAGTCAATCTTTCAGTTTGTGTGTACAGCCGGAGAGATCGAAATGACCTTTCCAACAATCCCGAATACAAAAATACAATTATACAATATACAGATATGTATAAAAATATGTATAAAATATGTATATATATGTATGTATATATATATATATTATATATATATATATATATATCTCTATATATCTCTCTCTCTCTCTCTATCTCTCTATCTATCTCTCTCTATCTCTCTCTCTCTCTATCTCTCTCTCTCTCTATCTCTCTCTCTCTCTCTCCCCCTCCAGCACCCCTATGCCCACATTAAGATAAACAAAACACAACAATGAATATATACAAAATAACAGTCACTTCAATATCAATGTCTTTGGGAATGTACATTAGTGCAAGATTGTCAATAGAATGTGCATTTATTGCAAGATTGTCCATAGCAGCGTAAAAAAAAAAAATGTCTGGTGCTGGATCTGAGTGTCTGAGTGTGCGTGGGGAGTTATAGTCCAGTGGGGGCAGGGGGGAGAGAGAGGGGAGAGAGTTCAGCCTCCTGACAGCCTGGTGTAAAAAGCTGTTCTTTAGTCGGGGCCTGCATTAATTCAACAACAATAAATTGTTAGATGACTTTGGATTTCACAGTGTTGTAGCCAAGTTCCTCCTCGTTCTCTCCTGAGATATTTACAAAAACAGAAAGCACTCCACAAGATGAGGTGAAATGTTTTAATCTTTTTGAGATGGAGTTATTTTATTGTATTTGATCGCATGCACATATTTCTTTGTTGTACTTTAAAGCCAAACCAGACAAACAAACAGTCCGAAATATGTCTGAGGAAGGGTGAAAAAAGTCCTCCTGGATTTTCACCAGCTTGCCCTGACTCATAGTGTCACCGAGGTTTCTGATTGGTCAGTCGGGCGCTCCACCTTTACTGCAGCAGTGATGCTTCCTGTGTCTCTCACCTCTTGCCCCGCTTGTCAGACCTCTGATCACATCGGGGCATGAGCAGCCCGCAGTGCAGATCTGCTCCGTCCATCCTTGACCTCTGCAGGAATCGGCTATTTAAAGCACGCTGCCCTGCTCAAATAAAACACCGTAGGATAATATATCTGCTGCGCCACAGAATACATCCAACAATATAAAACCAACACCGTGCTCCGCTCTGTTTGTGGGAATGAGGCCAAACAGCGGTCAATGTTAAACGCCATGAGACAAAATATGAAGTGGATATTTCCTGCTCACGCCTCTCCTATTGAATATCCAACAGTCATGTATATTATTACAGAGAATTAGAGCAATGCTATTGTCATTTAAAAAAAGGAACATTTATTTGACCAGCTTGAATCGAATAATGATAATAATAATAATAATAATGGGGGTGACTCAATTATTTTAATAGATGATCAAATAGTTCATCATTGGCAAGCCAGTTATTTACTTGAGTAACCAATCGTATGCTCGGTGTCTAAATGTAATTGGGACCTTTTTGGATGCATGTCAGAAACCCCTTACCCCCATTTCCTAAAATAAAGGCCAAAATAAATATCTATTAAAAATATGAATTAGTCCATAGACCTTTTTCATTGTCTATAGAAGACTTATTCAATGACAATAACTTACAGTGGATCCAAAAAATGAATTATTTGATGCTGAACCAGAGAGAAATACTCACTTCACATGGAAAACACATTTTTACAAGTGCATGACTTTGTCCACACAGTAACTTTACCGGTGATCCTGAATCAATACTTTAGAGCTGTCAGTGCTTCGTGGTCGTACTGGAGGAGATTTCAGGCCCCTAGCGACCAGCACTGGTCCAATGTTGTCAAGGAAACTACGCGCGGGGGGGGGGGTGTCAAAGCGCCCACTCTCTGCAGCAGTCCGGCTCCAACTGCCGTCTTCAGCATTCATGCATAGTCAAGACTTCTCAAAGAGCACGAGTTTTGTTTCCAACACCAGAGAGAATATTATGACATAATGCACTCACCTGATTCATAGAGAAACATGTAAGAGTGGTTATCTCGCTCTCCCGCTGGTTCTCTGTTTGTCTCGGTGTGTTTTTTTACAGGTTTATAAAGCACAATTTGAGTGCCTAATAGAGCCAGCTCACTTGGCAGCAGTGACCTAAAGGCTCACTGTTGTGCAGCTAATGTGTGTTTACTGTCAAGCATTTGTAAAGTGTTTGTTTGTTTGTTTCTCAGGCTGCTCTGTCGCTCCTGATGCTGAGGAATCCAGTTTTCCCCAAGTCTCATTATCTGGCCCGCTACCACTACTCAGGTACGTCTTATACAACATATTGTTCTGTGTATCCATATAGAGTTTAAACTTCTATATTTCAAGCTGCAATAGTACATTGCTGGTTTTGGCTGTAGCTCAGTCTGTTGGCACTGGTGCAAGTCCCTGAAATCTTGTCCCTGTATACATGTAATATCTACTCACTGCTCCTAATAGCATCCGGACAGAAACCACCAGATTCCGAGACAGTTTCATCCCACAGGCAATAAGACTGTTAAACACCTGAACTGTTGAAACAACATCCATAACATTCATCTGCTACTTAGTCATTATTTATCTATTTATCTAATATATCATTCCAATAGCTTGCATATAGACTCTTATTGCACTATTTCAACTATTTTTCTTTTTGTATTTACTTGCACTATATTTGTCTGTCTATCTGTATTATTGTGTTGCACTGTTGGAGAAGCCTGTGACACAAGATTTTCATCGACACAACTGCTCTGTAGCTATGTTCGTATGCCAAATAAAGAACCTTGAACCCTATTACTAGGATGGGTGTACATGTGTCACACATTTTTGGGAGATTCAATTCAAATCCTCTCGTGATATAATTAGGGATGAAACACTTGATTGTTTTTGATATTCCAAGTATTCAAACAAATTCCAGCTTCTCAGTTTTAAGGAGTTGCTGTTTCCATTTTTGTGCTATCTGACAAACCCCAGCAAGTAAATGTAAGCATGTGTGGTAACTTGAAAATGCTGATTTCAGTGAAAAATGTGTGTTTTGGTTTGTCATCATGGGGGTGTCAACAAAGAGAATCTTCTCCTATTTCTTTGAACCAACTAAAACTGAGTCGTTCTAAGGCCTTGCCTCAAAGCAGCTGCAGCAGTGAGAGTGTTTGGGCTGTGGTGGCTGTGTGTGGGGGGCGGGGGGCGGGGTGTGGGGGTGGGGGATGGACTGTGGAGGATTGTCAGGGTCAACGGGATGAGGGGAGGAGGGGCTTTACAGCATGTGGTTAATCCCAAGCAGAAGACAGGGAAGCCATTGTTTACCAAGAGATTTGACTCCGTGTGTGTGTGCTTGCGTGTGTGTTTAAGGGTGGGGGGTGGTATTGAACTTGTCAGACTTGGCACACATTCTGATTATTGTCTGGAAGGAGAGACTTATATATTGGACTGTTTATTTCTGTGTCTTAGTTTCTCTTATGTACATTGCCTTGTGTTTTATTATGCTGCAACGCAAACATCTATCCATCCATCTATCTATCTATCTATCTATCTATCTATCTATCTATCTATCTATCTATCTATCTATCTATCTATCTATCTATCTATCTATCTATCTATCCATCCTTCCTTGCTGAGTGTTTTTAAACGTCTGCATCCCTGTCTCTTTCTAAATGTCTCTCTGCAGGATCAGACAGCTGGACTGCCGCTGAGAGACGCCAGTTCAACAAAGGCATCGCTGCATACAAGAAGGACTTCTTCATGGTGCAGAAACAGGTAGGATGTGGTTTTAAACACAAGAGGGGAAGAAATAAAACTCTCCCTTCTCGTCCAGGCCACACAGTAGCATAGCTGTGGGCTGATAACAGCGTGCATAATATTTTCCCTGACAATGGGTGGGCAGGGAGAGGAAATGCAGTCACTATGGAACAATGTTTCCTGCTTGTTTGAATATTTGCCGTGTCACAGTTGATCAGTGTTTTTCCACAAGACTGGAATACTGTTACATTTTCTTGTCCTACAGTGATCAACAGGGAGGACACGTAGACTTTCAATGTTAATTGGCAAAACCACAAGATTAAAGGATTAGAAAATTGTATTTATGAATTAATCATGATTATGTCATTTTTTTTCATCCTGTCTGCAATGAAACTTCTTAAGAACAAATAATTTTTTATTATATTACGTACAGATGGACATCTTTTCTTCAGGGTTAAATACACAGAGCAGAGAAAACAATGCAAAATGTACAAAATAAACACAGACAATACATAAAAATGCTCTATCCAGAACAGCTAAGGACTAAGTACTTTTAAAATGCCCTAGCAAAAAGACCTAGTGTGCACAGTGCTGTCACAGTGCCATTTTCTTACAAACCGGGAAGTTGAAATTCCATTTTAAAAAGGAGGGAATGTGTGTGTGGTTTACAGGTCATCACTAAGTCAGTGGTGCAGTGTGTGGAGTTTTACTACACCTACAAGAAGCACGTGAAGATCGGCCGCGGCGGGATGCTGATCTACGGAGAGCTGGAGCCTCTGGAGAGCAAGACCACCGAGGAGGAGACGGACCACAAGGTCAGTGACATGTTCAATATCTGTACTGCAGTCACAGGGTTGTTGTTGTTGCTGATGTATCTATAAGTCAATACATCATTTAGGGGACCAAGACCCTGGCATTAAGCAAAACAAACCGTCTGTTAGCATGGGTGGATTATGAGACGTTCACAGACAATCACAAACATGCAAAAAATGTTCCACCAGCTCATCTAAATAGCAACATGACACACAGACCTTATAGCTGTTTCGCTTGTTGTTGTTGTTGTTGTGTTGTGATGCTTTGTAGTCGTTAGCATCCCTCTGTGGTTTTTTGTCTCTAGTCGGTCACAGTGGGGGTTTTTGGTAGTCACTTTTACTGCCTCTTCGGAGTCAATTTGGGTCTTTTGTAGTAGTTTTACGACCACGTGGTTTGTGTCTCTGTGTTGTCATTGTGTCACTGGAACAGTTATGCTTCCTTGTAGTTTTTTGGGGTAAATTGTAGTCGTTTTGCAGCGATTCATGCACGCATCTGTGCTGCAGAAAGAACTACAGCACTCAAAATATAGATTTTTTTATTATTTGACTGAAAGCAAAACAGCTTAGAAGCATGCAAAAAGTGTTTCAGGGGAATTGTCTAAAGTAAGCACGGACTAATGCACCACTCTGGTCAGAAATAAACAGATTGACTGCAGGGTAATCTGATTAAACAGGAAAACGGCAACGTTTTCTTTAGATGTGAAACTGCAGAGTGTCGATTCAGAAATAAACCAGCTCAGAGTATTTTCAATCACCAGTCACATCTAAAATAAACTATGCAGCTATGTGACCATACTGTCCTCAGCTTTAATACAGATGTATTTTATCCACGGAAACATTGCAAGGTACAGATTTGGTGGTTGTTTTGGTATCCAGTAACGTAGAAGTACAATTTAAAGAGAAGCAGTTTGACAGTTGTTGCATAATAAAGCTCCACTGCAGAGCTTTGTAAACCAGCATCAGGCTGTAAATGTCTCCTTGTCTTACTGACTGTGTTTCTCTTGACCAATAGGGCTCTCAGAGGTTGGAGCCACAGAGGGAGGAGGACAGCAGGAAGTGGGAAGGGTCAGCTGACAGGAAACAGGATGTCGGCCCCATCAGGGCACCACACACACTGCAGCCTGCTGACAATGTGAGTGTGAAATGAATGATGTGTTCTGCATGGGAAGGGAACTACGTGAATAAGGTCATCGGTGAACATGAGTCTTTTACTTTGAAGGGAAAGTAACTAGGATATGATTTCATTTTGTAACTCAAAACTTCCATTTTGTATTTCTTTGTTGATTTTGTCCGACATCGTTTTGAAGATTAATTCAATGGATATGCTTTCAAGGTTAGGACGAGGCTTGACTTGAACATAGTCCTTGGAAAATCTTTTCAACATAATCTGGACTTTCATCTACTCCAAAAATATTTTAAACTTTGAACTGAAACTATCCCGTGTGGTCAAATAAACAAGGATCAATATGCTGTGGGTAAAAACAAATTATTTAAACTTAATTGTTTTGCAACTGCATTTATAGTAATAATTTATGCATGAAGGCTTCAGGTGTCAGGAATTTCTTTTTTTAAGGTGAAATTGCTTGAGCTTTACTCTTTTAAAAGCTTTGCAAACTGTGTTCTTGTATTGACAGCTAAGGAAGTGACTTTAAGTTTGTTTCTATATATTATTAATACAGTAATGAGATGTACTTGTCTCCATGTTTGTGTATTGACCCATATTTGAGATGACACACATAAACGCCTTCATACCAGTCATGTTGGGAAAGTGAGAGTGTGAGAACAACATGGTCCTCACACTTGAAGCCTTTTCTCTCGTATAACATGAAATACTGTGTGTTTGTCAGCTAAAGCTTCAAGTTACATACGCACACAAACTCTCCTGTAAGGTTCTTGAAAGCAACTGTAAGGATTTCTGTCACTTTTAGCATCTTCAAACTCTTAAATAATATATACAAAAAAAGTTTTGATCGTCTGTTTCTGTAGCAAAGATTGAAGTAAACACATTAAACCTTAGCGTGAACATTTATGGGGACTGACTTGCTAGCCAAGTTCCTACATGACAAACAACCCATAATGCAACACTCTGTAGGAGCCAGTAGACACCGTTTTAAAATAAATATCTGATGTTATGAGTAGGTGGATTTGACGTCATCTGAACAGGACATCACACGCTCACTGCTTGATAGCGCGCAAAGGTCTGTTTACGCCGGTTGTTAAACAACATCATTATGAGGAAATGCAAGTCTGCGTCCAAATGGTTGGAAGATAAGGAGGAAGGACAATCAATACTGTATATAGTCAATGTGAGGTAAAGTGTGTCGCCAATGTAACCGGTTAAAACTCGAAGTGGTGATTAAAATGTATGGAAAGGGTCTTAAAAAAGGTATTACATTTGACTTCAGGATTCCTGCATATACCCTGATAAACCACAGAAGTAGGTCAGCACTCCAGAGGGATTACTCACATTGTTGTGTGTGTCAACTTAATAAATACCGCGCTAGTTATACTCTCATTACCATACTGTATGTTGTCTCTTAATTATGCAAAACATGTAATTACCTCAAAGCCTTGAAAGTACTTTGATCAACTGTCTTGTTCTTTATGATTATTTGTTTGTTTCCACATACAGACACACTCACACCTACCTATTCTCAGTTATGCATGAATAAACAGTAGTCTGTACAAGAGAGGAAGGAAGCCTCAGTTTTTTTCGCTTAAGACTTTGACACATTTGTCCTTTTGAACTCTTCCTGGCCTGTCCGGGTGGCTGCGTGCTGGAAGTGGCGCCCCCTGCTGGATGTTTTAGAGCACTAGCTTGGCTGCTGTTGTTTCTGTATTGTGTAACCCCATTATGTCCGTCAGCAAACAATGACTCAACAGGAATCCTTTTATTCATGTTATTTGCATTAGAGTAGTTTGCATACAAAGTTTCTGATGACAGACAATGTATCATTAAGCTGAATAAGTAACACATTTGAAAGTTGTTAACTTGCAATAAGATGTCCTTTTTTGTATTTAAAGATTTTTTAAGTTGTATGTTTCAATGTGCAAATGAGGCCGTAACTTGCAAAAATAATTTCTAATTTGCAACGTTTTCTGGAGCAGAAATCTAAACCTTGGATAATGATAACATCCATTTATTATTATAATAATAATACAATTTATTTCCATTTTTCAAGCAATAATATTGCAAATGAGGCTTTGAACCATAAATAAAAAACAGACCCCTCATTAAAAACATTCAGAATATATTGAGGAATCTAACTGGAAAGTTCCGTAATGTCATCGCTCCTGGAGTTTTGCATTTTGAAAGCTACTCAAGATGTAAACACTAAAAATATACAAATAAATAACAAATGGATAATCGTCGAATTCATTGAATATGAACGTGTTTTACATCTACGTTTACTAAAATGTTATGTAAAAATGCATTATCTTTTGCTAACTTCAGGTGAATTTAGTAAACATCTACAGACACAAATAGAAAGAGTCTGTAAAACAAACACCTAAATGTTTATTCTGGATGTTTTCATTCACTACTTTGAAAGAAGACATGTTACGGAAGCAAAATTGGCCCTCAACAATGTACCTTTCCATGTAAATCAAAGTGTTTGCCTGTAGTGTTTTTCTCATGATCGCTACCCCTCCTCTGACCTCTCACTCCTTTTCTGTGTGCAGCCTGGCACCGTCCTCATCATGAAGGCCTCGGAGGACGTGGGGAGGGAGCAACCGCTGTCCCGGGTCGGGATCGTCCCCCCCCCTCAGCCGCCGCCCCCCCCAGCCTCCAAAACCCGCTACGACACCAACGCACGTAAAACCAGCCCCCCCGCAGCCAACAAAGCCTCAGCTGGCCCGGAGGGAGAGTTCCCCTGCAAGAAATGTGGCAGGTGAGTGATCAGAAATATCCCATCAGTCACTGCTGTTTGCATGGCTCTTGTTTACTTATGCAAAGCCAACAGCAGCAGTTACATAAGTGTCCTTTAGACTGAACTCGCTATATATTTTAAATACTACATTTCTGCTGCTTTCGCCCACTTGGAATATGTATTGGTAAACAGAGGTTGAAGTCTCACAGTGAAAGAATCAAGACCTCCTGTCTTGCTTTGATTAAATACCAGCCTGTCCTCTGGCAACATTGCTCCTGTTATTGCAACCTGTGTCCTAGCAACAGAAACACAGAGCAGATCTGGCACATCGCGCCTTTCTTCCATGAAACTCTGCCCACTGACTGGCCAAGAGCTCCTCTCACCCTTTAAATACTCACACTGCCCTATGTGCGCTCATTATGGATAAGCCATCCATTCAGGGTCTGATAATGTTTGTTTACTGGAAATCCAATAAAGCTTATTAGCCATTTTACAGCCATTGTAATCCATCGCTGCACATGTCATGCCCCTGCAGACCCACTGCTGTGTCACATGCTGCGGTACTGATTACTCAGTCTTCATTTCCATTCCTCACACTGAACTTTGTGAACCCTTTCGTTATGTAGAAAGACCACGAGGGGAAATAACTCTTAGGGTTGGGTGATATCAAAATCCCACTGTCGACGATACCAAAAATAATTATATACAAAATGATTGTCCAAGATGAAGCTGAAAGAGAGACACGCGTCAAGAGAAAATAAACAAAGCTAAATAAACGGACTTTTAAAGAATCCTCTTTTGGTGCAGAGCAAACTGACTTTAATATAATAATGAGAATCAAAGTCATCCATGCCAAGTTAACTGCATGAATACAATTCATTAAGCTAATTAAAAAAGGATTTGAGCGTTCCAACTTAATACCTTGTCATGTTATGCTGGTGCATCGTTAGAAATGTTCAAATAGGCACTATTATTCTCCATCTAAGAAATCATTAAACTGATGAAAAGTGTTTTGAAAAGGGGATTTGGCAGTTATAAATGTGGGGAAACACGTCTTGCTCGCTCACAGTGATCATTGATTAATTATAAATGTCCAAGCTTTAAAATCTCTCATGCCTGTGGAAGAACAGAGCAGAGATGTTGTCACTTTATAACTCAAGAGTGAAGCTCCTTTTGGGGGGGGAGAAGACAAAGAGCCACGACTTTTCCAGCTCGATGACCAGCAATGTTGCACAATACGTAAGAAGGGCTTCGGCAATAATCTCTTCCCTGTCTTCCTGTAGGGTTTTCTTCAAGGTGAAGAGCCGCAGCGCCCACATGAAGAGCCACGCCGAGCAGGAGAAGAAGGCGGCGGCGCTGCGACAGAAAGAGGCCGAGGAGCGGGCGGCGAGCGAGGCGGCCGCTGCGTTCGCCGCCCGGCAGAACGGGGCGCGGCAGGGGGGGGACAGCACCAACGACGAGTCGTCGGGCGGGGAGGACAAGGACGATAAGGACTGGAAGTAAGAGAAAAGGACACACACACTGACTGAAGCGTGGCTTTACTCTCTGGGACGGGAGCAGGATTTAAAAAGGAGAAACACCTCCTGTGTAAATGTCGTGGGACAAGAAGACTTCCGTTGCTTGGCACATTCAGGGACAGATTTACTCCCATGTGAGTGTGTGTTTGTGTGACAATGAGTGTGTATGAACTTTCCAAAACGCCCCCCCCCCCCCCCTTTACTCTGCTTGAAAAGCTTTTCAAGAGTTACCTCTCTTGGTCACAGGGCTCGTTCAAATCAAAGCCATGCCGCCTCGCCAGGCCTTTCCTCAGCACTTCGAGTCTCGTTCGACGGACAAGGAACTTTTTTTATTTTCTTTCTCGATGAGCCGCAGTACGCGCTTGCTTAGGCTGCATCCCATCTGGATGAAGTTTTTTTTTAAGTCTGACAGCTGGGGGGGTGAACGGAGGGTCCTGCTGTTGGACAGACGGACGGATGGCATGTGCAAACTGCAAACTGTTGCCTTTGTTTGGCTGCTCCTCTGCACTAAAGGCTGCCAAAGCTTTCTCAGACGCATGATGTGCACCAAATGTGTCTGTGAGCGTCCTTCATTTGGGCTTCAGTTCTTTGTACCCTCAGCCCACGTCTCTTTTTATAGTTCCCAGTGTGTTCCTCACTGTTAATGCCTTGGATGTTTTGATGCTTTTTACCCTGAAATGACAATCAATTTTACACTTTTTTTTTTTTTTATATATAAATATCTACACAGGTAAACGTTACTTTTTCTGCCTGTGTTGCTATATATGCTTATTGTTGTTGTTTTTGTGAATATTCTTGTTGATTATTAATATTATTATATCATCCTGGTTTTTGGCTGCAATTTAAGTGAACGCTTTTCCGTACTTGTCTATACCTTATTTTTCCTTTCTTTTTTTATTTAAACAAAAAACAAACAAAAATAATGCTATTCGCTGCCTGTTTATAACTGTGAGATTTTTTTTTTTTTGGAAGCCAGAAATGAAGAAAAGGCAGAAACGTATGTGCAATAGAACAAGTTGACCCCCTGAGCGTCAAAACCCTCCCCCTCCCCACCTCATGCTTTCTGTGGACGCCTGGCTGTCAGCACTGTAACTGATAGGAGGACTGACTCTCTCTGTAAACCGCAGGTCTCTATAGGTACACACGACGAGTGGGGAAGACAACAAACAACACGGACAAATTCAAGACATGTTGGAAACAAAATCAGTATTTATGAGTTTCTTACTACTTAGCTAGAGGAAATGACTTCCTCGTACAAAGGCAGTCTTCACTTTAACCAAACTTAAGTCATATTTTGACGGTTTAAACAAGAGGTTTTGATAGCAGATAATTTAGTGGGAGTCGATATCTGCCTCTTAAAAGCAGAGAACATATTGTCATCAACGAACAGGTATACAGAGAGGAAGTATTGTTTACTGTAAAACAACTTAACTCATATTTTTAATGTCAACAAAAGACATTTGCTTTGCTTTCTAGAACCAGATATCAGTATCTGCTCCCTTCTTACACATTTCAGCTAAATTATAGCTATTACGCATATTTTTAAGTATTTTTTATAAATAATAAAAAAGAACAGACTCATTGTTTACTGTTAACATAACTTCACTTTACAGGAGGTTTTGAATGCTTAAGACATTTTTACTATCTTTTTAAAACCAGATATCAGCAGCAGTCGGTTCTCTACTTCCCACAAACTGTGAATATGTCAGTAAACTGTCATCAACAAACCTGCATTAGGCAAGGCAGAAGCATTATTTTCTGCTAACCAAACGTAACTAGAATGTTGCAGGTTTTAAGAAGGGATTTAGCATGTTGTTATGAAAGTTATATTTTCAGACTAAAAATACTTATTTGCTGATATTTGGTGCCTTTTAAATTGAAACCTGTTTTGCTGGATTTTGGAGACTGTGTTCTCTCCTGTGTCTCACACTGTGTTAAGATGGTTGTGACACTAACACGCTCTGATGAAACCATGACTATGTGGGTCAGCAGTTGACCTAAGGGCAGCATGACACAGCTTACACAAGCATTTGGAAATGTTGAGTTATTATATATATATATATATATATATATATATATATATATATATATTGCAAATATGACGTTTAAATGAAGATAGTGGCTGACAAATTCACAAAAAAAAAACGAAATCCTGGCTGTTTATCGACACAATATTTCCATGTCTATCCCTAACGTGTGTATCTATGGTTGACTTTCTGTTTACCTTGTCGCTGATGGCAGGCACTAAATTGGTCTGTGGAAACGGCGTGTTTTGATCCGTCTATCTCTACATATCTCAACGTTAAGCTCTTCGGCCCGGAGCCAGCTTCTGTTGCCGTCGCAACAAATGGGTTAAAGGGTTATTTTCCTTTAAAGGACAAACCACAGTGGGGAAGTTGTGGCGAGAAAAAGCTCTGGTTATCATTAACTCCACAACTCAGACCTGGGTCTATGCACAGACTGTGTGTGTGTGTTTGGATGTACTGTTAAGTGTGTGTGTGTGTGTGTGTGTGTGTGTGTGTGTGTGTGTGTGTGTGTGTGTGTGTGTGTGAGAGGTTCAAATGTTAAACTGTACGCCGCTCTATGAAAAAAAAGGTTTGCAAGACTGTTCACATGTTTGGTATGTTAATTTATATTTCCTTTTTCTTTCGGGCTTTTCTTGAGGTTCCTCGTGAGGGGGAAGTTGTTGTGAAAACGTTTTTAAGCTGCAGAATTATGGATGAAATTCGAGGCCGTCGACACAAAACACACAGCTGTAAAAATGTCCTAATTTCATCCACTTAGTTAAGGGAATTTTAAGAGGAAAAAAAGGTTTATTTAGCTAAAGATTAGAAAAATATATATGAATGAAATTCTATGTTTGCATACTTTCTATGCTATTTTCATATATGGGGTTCACACTAATGATGAAAAACGGAAAGGAATCTCAAGTGCTTTTTACTACAGTGTAACTTATTTGTTTCGATTTGATTTTTACCACCTGTGTTTTTAGTAATGATTTACAAAGCACTGTATATTAAAGTTTTAAAATATTCACTAAGACTTTTGAATGTGTCTTTTTTTATTTCTTTCCATTATCTAACAGTGATGAGGGCCTTTACTAAAAAAGGATGTTGGTGTTAATGGTGCAATTCAGATAAACGGCACAAGAGGGCAGCAGAGTCTCAGCAGTTAAAGGACTGAAGTACCAGCAAAGAGCAGAGGGGGACGCTGTTGTGACTTTCAAAGCAAAAGCTGTGTTTGTTTAGTGCAAACTTCACCTTTTGGTGGACATTTAGTGGTTTCATTGGTTAAAGGTGGCAAGTCAAATGTATTTATGTAGCACAAAATCACACAACTGTCTCAGAGGTCTATAAAATCTGAAAACATACAGAGACTCTTTGTCACCGTGCTTCTGATGCCTAATGTAATGTTACAGCTAAAGCTAGGCTGGTGGCAGTTGTGTACTATACACGGTCTACTCTTTCAAAGGTTATGCATCTGTTTTGTTACATTTCATTTCCTTTATTTATTAGATTTAAACACATTAAGGAACATTTCTGTTAGTGTTGCAGTGTTAGCCAGCTAGATTTCTTTGTCATCCTTTTATGTCTGTTGTATCTACAGCATATCGGGCCCAGTATAAAGATCATTAACACTGTTCTACATAATATTTTAAGTTTAAATCCCCCTGTCATGTTGGCTTTACTCAAAATATGGAAGTGAGGTGGAGAAAAGCCTAGATATATTAAAGGTGGGGTATGTAATTTATTTCAGAAACACTTTTTGTTATATTGCATGGAATGCTCTTAACATCCCGATAGCAATGAATATATTAAATGCTTTGACAATAAATAAATTAAATGTCATCTGTGGAAGCCGTAGTACTGTAAAAAGCACGACCAATCATCTGAGCCGGCCCGGCTAAAATAACTGGATGGCCTACCTGCCTGTCAGCCTTCCATCTGTGCACAAGCTTATCTCGTGCCCTCATTGGTCATGTTCGTGTGTGTTGGGGGAGGTGGCAGATTTTTTCCGGTTGTGTATTTTCAAATTCTAGCGCACTCGAGCTGGTTTCTCCAAAATGACCTACCCCACCTTTAAACATTTGCTATTATTGACAAAAATGAGATCTGACATTTGAAACTGTTCATTATTATCCTGCATCATTGAACACAGTTCTGTAAATATGAATTCATACTTGGAAAAGTGATTGTATTACATACAGATCACAGCACTGAACATTAGGTTGTTTTGCCATATTATATTGTCGGCGTTATCACAAGATTAATGAGTAAATCATATCATATATCGGTCGGGTTATAATGTAGTGTAGATCTGACAATGGAGATACAATTATGAGGGGGACTGCCAACTCCCACCAGCAGCGGGGCATTCTGGGAAAAGCAAAGACGAACAGCATTGCAGCTCAGATGTATCCTGACAGAATCTTTTGTTTGTTCCAAATGGTGGAGGAGGTGGAGGAGGAAGACAAATAGGTGGGATGGGAGTTAAGGAAGAGAGAAGAGGGATCCTGAGTACAAAAACACAACTTCATCTGACAATGGGACAGCTGGAGAAAGTTAGAGATCAGAGCGAAGTCCTAGAGGATTTCAGGTGAAAACACTGAATCACAAAATGTTCACGAGAACTCGTTGGCATCCATCTCTCAATGTCGTTTGAGTTTTGAAGAATTGCATCTTTTGCATTTGGAAAAACACTTCTGAGAAATTCCTCCTGCTTAATGATCACTTATATATGGACTGGTATTGCAGACCATCTATCACACGGACACACGAAGAAGACCACAGGTTATTTTTCACTGCCATCGTACAATTAAACTGTCTGCAAGTCCCTGGAGGCTCAGACAGCATGTGAGAGAAAACCCTGAAAATGGTAGCCAGGTGCTTTGAGAACAAGAGAGAGTAGGAGGTAGAGAGACGAAGTTAATGTGGAGTTTTTTTAATGACTGTTTTACACAAAACACTCATCAGCTCGTAATGATGCTCCACATCGTTATCATACTTTAAAAGCCTGGACATCAGAGTCCATCAGGAGGTGTGATAATGAGGACAAAATCCTGCTAAATCCAGGAGGTGTTATCTACCACAGAGGGGCTCAGTCTATAAAACACAATTTCCCTGACGCAAAAACGTTTTTTCCCCCCCAAATATAGAAGTCTTTTTTCCGACATGTTGTGTTCATGAGCCTTGAGTCATCACGTAAAAGCAACATGGACCCTACAAAGAACGCATTGCATTTTATTGCTCACAGTGTGTGCTTATATTAGTGATATTTTAATTTAGAGATTATACATTTACACATGGATTGTCAATCTGCTCTCACGAATAACATTAAGAATCCTACCTCCATAAATATGGGATAACAACAGGTTTACCATTTTAACAATTTTCTGGACACAGGTAGATGAGAGTGCGAAACGTTCACAAAAGCTGAACTAATGTTGTTAAATTGCACTCAAATCGGAAGACCCTTGTTTTTGAAGCTGCTGAAAGTCTAATTGCACGAGTACAGAGTTTACTGGACTTTGACCCCATTGGCTAAACCATGATTGATGCACCAAGAGGATTTTCAGCGATCCAGATCCAGACTCAGAAGCCTGGCCACCTCATTATCTTCCCCAGCGTTGAGGCTTTCTCCTGGGCTTGCAGCCGCTGATGGCTCCCCTCTCTGTGTGTGTTTAAGGAGAGCTGGCTGCCATAGAGATGCTCATGGCAGCAGCTCAATTTTTTCTTCTGCACACAAACACACTGGATCCTATTTAGCAATTACAACGCCAGAGGGCTTATTTATACACATGTGCTGAGACGGGGGGCTGCAGTGGAAACAGAAACATCCAGCAGCACTAATCAACTGCAGCCTGGTAATAGGAAACAAGATGGGAGGGAGGATGGAGGGAGGATGGAGGGAGGATGGAGGGAGGATAGTGAGTAATTGAGGAGGAGAGGTGGGAAGACGAAAACAAAAGAGGTTGCGCAAAGATGTGTTGGAAAGGGATCGAAGGAAGGATTTTAAGATTTAGTTGAGTGCTTGTACACCAATTGGATAGTCAGTGGTTCAGTTCTATCCATCAAGATATGAATGCACGTTTTACACTGATCTGTGTTGCTCAAAGCATTTTTATGTCAATTTACCATAGATAGCAGAGGTCACTGATAGTATGAGTGAGCTTTAGGTATGGCAGTAGGTACAGATATTTTGCTAAACGGGCCTTTCTGCACATATCGTAGGTATCCCATACCTAATCTGTATCAAACAAGTATCTAGGAAAAACAAAAGACAGAATCTCTGCCAGGGATGAGGTGGGTAAGGGGGACGATGTTCATGAACATAATGACATTTGGTCGACTTTTAACCAAGTGCTGTGGTCCCTGTCTGGCCCCCCAAACACACCAAACCTCGCAAACAAACACACATGAAAAGAAAACAATGTATTAAGAGGAAGCGTCCTTGATCTCACGTGATCCTAGCTATTTTATACCAGAGGGTTTTCTGGCTCGATGAGTTATATTCAAGTTAATATTCTTACTGGTGACTGCAAGCATATGGACGGCATAAAAGCAGATGGCACGATATAAAAGGAACAGTGAAATTGCTATGCTACAGGAGAAGAAGAAGATGGGGGTTGACAGACAGGTGATTTAGTTTATGGTTGGCTGTCAGTGTCTGTTGACAACGCTTACAAATGTCCATGATTGAAGCTGAAGTTATTGTCCAGGGTAATGCCAAGAGATCTGAAAGACTCCTCTTCCTTATTTCATTCGATGGTGAGATCAGGGGTGGATGGACCAGCGTTTGAGGAGCAGAGGGAGTATCTGAGAAAGCCATGCATATTCAATTACATAAATGAGGACCAGATTCAGCTCAGTAACCTCCTCAATGCCTCGCTGGTAATCTGCCACAAACGAGACTCTGCTGGAGCCTCTGGATTGATACGTTCAGCCAGACTCCAACGGCACACTTGGGATCCTTCACAGGGATGAAGACGGGAGGTTGTCCAAAGACACTTTTCTAAATTTCACACACTGTAATTTATTCAAAGTGGTGTTACTGATGATGAGGAGAGGAGGGTGGTGGTGTGTGTTGTAGCAGTCGGGTCTTTCCAATTTCAACTGAACATGTTTTGAAAATGAAATATGCTATCTGTGATTAATTTGAAAAGTGCGTCCTAATATCACTCTAACGAAATTGTCAGCAATCTTCACATTAAACTCTTAGAAAGAAAACAAATGAACGTATTTCTCTTTGTAACAGTGCAGTTCCTTGGCCTTGTCCACTTTAAACCAAACATTGTCTTAATCCAGGTTTAATATATCTTAAGACGTTTAACTAAAGTGAATTTCCCATTGAAAAAATGTAAAGGAACCAAAGGCTACAACTTTGTATAGGAATATTTAGGATTGTAACTTTTTTTTCTCCAATTTCATGAATCTTGTGACCTTTTTAATCTACATTTGATTTTAGTCGTCATTGCCGTTTTCAATTCATGTAGGCAATCATGCATTTTGATTTAGCATATTAACAACCTTGTAGAAAATTATAAACCTCAGCCTTATTACTGCTATCAAAGCAAAAAAAATCATTCAAACTGCCTATGAAAAATCTGAAAATGTTCAGTAACAGTTATAATACATTTTAGAGATTTTTAATTATAGTCTTCCCCTCCTGTTGTCTTCGGGTCAAATCTGACCGATTTACTACTTTCATCAATCATAACTTTTTTGTTTTACATTAGATTGCATTAAGGCTTTATGATATCCTTCACAGTAGACATTTGAACATATACAATTGCTGATCACCACTTTCATTGAATTTTAGATGATTTAGTCAACTTTGTAACACCCATGGTGTTCCCGGTCAAAACTGACCGCCATAAAGAAAAGGAATTAGTAACCGTCCGGATCAGATAAAACACACATACACACACACACACACACACACACACACACACACACACACACACACACACACACACACTCTAGATGTGTTCCCCCCCTTATGTGCCCAATCCCCCCATGTGAATCACACACACACACTCAC